CTTATCTTCGCATTACAAGCTTATTGCTTATCGCATATTAGCTTATTGCGTGCTCTCAACGCAGTGTTCTAGATGCACTTCCACAGTTATTAAGTGAGAGCTTTCGATGCCTGTATCATTTTTGCATTCTTATTATTGTGTGGCAAGTACAATCATACTCTATGCCCAGGGAAGTCGAGAAATTTTACAACCCGAAAAATTCCTAGACTGGACCGGGAATCAAACCCAACCACCTCTAGCATGGTCTTGCTTTGTAGCTGCGCCTTTACCGACTGACCGAAGCGAGGCCCCTTCTCTTTGATATTCCGTTAAAATTTAACCCATATTTTTAAAAGGAAATAGCTGCAATAGAAAACTCTTTGAATTAATTTTACAATTATGTGTTGATATTCTTATTAATTATCACACTAATTCAATTAAGTTTGCACCATAATGTTGTATTCTCTATGGGAGTTTCCATGGAATTCTCTTGGTAAACTTTATAGAATTACACTGGAATACTTTCTGATCTTGATATCTATGTGTAAGATAGCCACCATCCCTTCAAAATGCAGCTCCACTTAATAGCAAGATTATTTTGAGCTACCGATCTGAATTCACAATATCGCTGTATGAAGGGCCAAAAACGGAGGGGTGGACCCGTAAGTAGAGACACTTACGCGAAATCCACGGGAATTTAAGAATCTCCTTCCAACAATACGCTCCAACAAATCGAATAACGCAATTCGCAATACTTATTAAGCTTCCTACAGGATGGTTTGTTAAGAAGGGTGCGTCAATCTCCCTGAAACTGTTGGAGTAGAATTCACACCATCACAATCGAATCGGTAGGATAAAGAAAATGATAGTGTTTATTCCCTCCTAGACTCCGGTTGTCATACCACTCCAATCGTCCAGTTCCAGGTCAAATGATACCCTGATGCTCCCTCCCAACCCAGTATTTATTTATATATAGTAAATATATGTAATTACTTACTTACTTAAGGGTCCTGTGCACCACCAGCGGTGCAAAGGGCCAACGTGAAAGACTTCCATCCTGGGCGGCTGCTCGCTTTTGCCTTGGCATCGGTTGATGAAGACCTGCAGCTTTTGAGTGTTCTCCGCTGATACACACCACGTCTCGCTGGCGTATAACAACACAGATTTCACGTTCGAGTTGAAAATTCGGATTTTGGTGCGTTGACTTATCTGGTTGGATCTCCATACGTTCCGTAAACTCGCAAAGGCAGCCCTAGCCTTCCTGATTCGTGCACCTATGTCGCTCTTTGTCCCGCCGTCCGACGCTATTTGGCTGCCAAGATATTGGAAACTTTCGACCTTCTCCACTGCTTGCCCCGCTACCGTAAAAATGGAAGGGTTGCCCGTGTTGATATCCAACGATTTGGTCTTTTTGATGTTGATGGTGAGACCCGCCGCAAAGGAGCGTTCGGCTAGGTCATTGAGCTTACTCTGCATATCAGAGCGCCGTTGTGCTAGTAGAGCAACATCATCAGCCAAATCGAAGTCGTTGAGATGCTCCATGGTGATAGGCTGCCAAAGCAGCCCACGGTTCGGTACACGGTCAATTGCACCTACCATGATCTCGTCGATTACGATGAGAAACAGTAGCGCACATCCTTGTCTCACACCAGCGACTACCCGGATAGGGTCGGACAAGGCTCCGTTATGTAGAACTCTGCACGTGAAAGCCTCATACTGCGCTTCGATGAGGTTGACGATTTTATCCGGGACTCCCTTGCGTCTCAGGGCGCCCCACAGATTCTCGTGATTGAGACGGTCGAAAGCTTTTTCGTAGTCAATGAATACCAAATAAAGAGACTCTTGGAATTCATTGACCTGCTCCAGGATGATGCGGAGCGTGACAATATGGTCCACACAAGATCTTCCGGCACGGAATCCTGCCTGCTGCCGTCGGAGAGTCGCGTCGATCTTCTCCTGTATCCGATTCAGGATAACTTTGCACAGAACTTTGAGAACAATACACAGTAACATGATGCCTCGCCAATTGTCGCACACAGTCAGATCCCCCTTCTTTGGGACCTTCACTAATTTGCCCTGCATCCAGTCGGCCGGAAAAGTCGCGGTGTCCCAGATATTACAGAATAGTTGATGCAACATTTGTGCGGATAGCATGGGGTCAACTTTGAGCATCTCTGCTGATATGCAATCGACCCCTGGAGCCTTGTTGGATTTCATGCTTCGGATAGCTGCTTCAATCTCCTGCAGTGATGGGGCCTCGGAATTGACGCGAGTGATGCGCCGCACCCTAGGCGGATCATGTCGAGATGTTGATGGCTGGTTGGCCGTCGAAACTTGAAGAAGTTGTTCGAAGTGCTCAAACCAGCGTTTCAGCTGGTCAGTGGGGTCGGTAAGTAATTGTCCAGCCGTGTCCTTCACTGGCATCCTCGGGTTCATCCTTGCTCCACTCAGGCGTTGTGAGATATCGTAGAGGAGGCGTATATCGCCAGTGTTTGCGGCTTTCTCCTCTTCGTCGGCCAGGCAGTTCACCCACGCTCGCTTGTCCCGTCTGCAAGAGCGCTTGACTTCCTTCTCTAGAGCCGAGTACCGTTGACGGGCTTCGTTCTTGGCTCCTCTGGTTCTCGCCCGCTCTATCGCGGCTTTTGCTTCTCTACGCTCCTCAATCTTCCGCCAGTAATGTAATGGAGAAATTAAATATATCAGAACATTGAAATACGTAATAATAAAGATACATTTATATGGATAAAAAAGTGGTATTCTGCAATGAAAATAATAATTATTTTACAAACAATATGATGCAGCTCTATGTCTCCCAATATAAGAAAGATGTAACCCTGAAATTTCCAGGTTATATTATGCAAATAAATATTTTTAGCTCGAATGATACTTGATATTTTTGTGTTGTGTTGTGTTATGTTGTGGGAGAGCTTGGGATTAAACCCATGATATTCTGCTCATTAAGCAAAACCGATCCCTCTAGGGTTATCAAGCATCTCAAAATTAAAACACTCCACTTCACTTGGTATGTAATTAACAACAGAAATACGCGATAATTCAAATAGTTTCAGCGGCTGATGGTTAATTTTAAATATACTACGGAGATTACGACAGCGACTACGACGGTGCCTAAGACGACGACAACAGCGAATTTGTAACTTACCATTTGTCTAGGATATAACACCTATGCCCGGCACCTCCACTTGAGCTTCATGTCTGCTATCTGTCACTGTTTGCAAAAATATCTAATAGCAATTACCTTTGTTGTAATCCTTCCTTCAACGAAAACAAATTTTCTTGCATTGCCATGGCCACCTGGGAGGAGGTTTGCGTCTAGTGCTTTCCCTAGGTTCCATTCACGGCCACCAGCTACCGCCCGTCCAGTCTTGGGTGTATCCAGCGACGCATCCTTAAGCTTGCTCACAATCTCCGACACTGGCGAGAGACCAGCATACGACCACTTTTGTAAGCCGTAGACTCGCTGATTCACGGCAACGTCGTCTACTGAATCACCACCAAAACTCGCGGCAGGCACATTATCAGCACTTTCCCCTTTAGCGTTAGCGTTGTTATGATATACTTCGTAGATTGGATACTAGCGACACTCACGTCTCTTCTGAAATTCTCAGTTAGACTACTTTCAGGAATAATGCTGGGGAGTAAACATTGGTTGATTTAAACAAGAGTAACAGAAGCATAACTGTCGCTATTCCCGACCACGCCCATCTTTACCATAACTAGGGATAGGGAAGGAAATGTTGATGTAGTACTTACTTAACGAGAGGCCACCGACTTAGCGACACCCTCATAAGTGCTACGGAGTTGGAGGGTTGGGTAGGGTATTCGGTTAGGATTCACCTCAAGTTGGCGATGCAACCAAAAGTATCATTATCAGCACTTTCCCCTTTCGATCGAAAACACTTATTTTTTTTTTCAAAAATAGTTGCCAGCGAACCAACATTATTACCGCGTAAATAAACTGAAATTCAAATTATCACTCGCGATGCCACAAATTTCTGATCCGGGAGAAAAAATCAAACAACGCCGATAGCGCCAAATCTTCTGATGCTTGCAAACATGATGAATCATGTTTCTTTCTCGATTCTAAAACTTCTCGGAAAGCGAGAAAACCACCAATCACACACGTATAACTGTCCGGGAGGCAGAGTGCCAGCGTTAATCCGGTAAATGCAGCCGATAACAATGAAAGCGAACGCACGCACAAAACAGAGAGCAAACTTTAAACACAACCGTATCCGAAGGGGTTCGAAACTGCACTGTTCTGATCTTTCTTTAGAATTATCCAAAAAAAATGTACGGAATAATTCCTCCTCAGCTTTTCCTAATTATTGATCATAATTCCTTTGAAATTCTGTTCAAAATTGTCGTGGCAATGATCATAGAATGTCTCCTCTATGAGCCTTTTCTCAGAACAGTCTTTAAATTGTTTCCAAAACACCCCTTGAATTTATCGCACAGTTGTCTAGGAATATTCTCATAGATTATCTTAAATTGCTATTCAGAAATCCTTTGAAACATTCCATGTTATTAAATTCCCAAGAATAATTCCAGATTGGAAATCCAAAATGGTCGAATTTTAGCAAAAATGTGAATCAGAGAAGGTCAATTTGTTTCTGATTCGTCATTTGGCCTGAAACTACTCAAAACATAAGCCGAAATCAATCTTGGAAATTTTCTTAAATCCCAAATTTACTGAATACTTTCGTTTGTTGCTGAATACCCAAGTAACAATTTTGGTTTTAAGAAGGTTCTGTAGACCATGATTTAGACTTGTAGAATGCTATAAAACCTCTATAAAACTGGAAATGTTACTTGGGTATGAACAACTGGGAAAATCGGAAATTTTAAAATGAAAATCCCGAGTTTATACAATTTCTCATAGTGAGTCTCAATCAATGAAAGTTTGAGAACCATTGATCCACACCTATCTCAGTTTCAACATAGTTGACATAGTGATTTATATGGAACCTTTCTCATAAAATAATTTAACACGAGCCGCACAGTTTTACAGATTGAAGTGTTTTATTAACGTTCTTTTTTTTTGACACAATGTTTTACGACACGCTTCTGGTTGTTGGGTTCGCTTTGTTTCGGTTTTCTTCGCTTTTTTCGTCGGTCGACCAGTTGATAGTTTAAAAAAAAAAATCAACAAAAAATGCTTCCATCTGCCTTCACTTCAAATCAAACTATCGTTCTTTTGCTTTTGCTTCCGCTCCTACTTATCTCTTTTTGTAGAGTACAGCCGACTATTTACTTGCTGCTGCTGCTGCTGCCGCGATCTGCACTATTTTGCATAATATACATAATAATCTCTATACGATAATATGACACAAAACTTAGCACACGAAATCTTTATACTCGGCCTTCGGTTAGTTTCTGGCTTTGTTTTCATTTTCTTAACACAGTTTGCGGTTAAATATTGGTTTTCATAACTGACGAGATGCACCAACTGAAGTAGAAAATATTATCATCTGCAATTCATCATCCGGTTGCGTTTTGTGTGTTCGGTTGTGTTATGTTTGCTGAAAGCTTGAATGCGTTTGATAAGCGTATTGATTAAAAACCTAATCCATCATCGACTGTTTCATGTAGTCTAAAGAGGAAAAAAATCGAACCTATTTTTCGTATATGTGTGTGTTTTTGTATAGATATATATATATATTGCTACACAGCTTTCTTACTGAGCATTGCTGTTTAAAAAACCTATTACAGATATTGCGAGAGAATGATTCCATTTTGGAGAAGAACCTCAAGCATGGAATCCCTGATCACGTTTCGATTCTTCATTGAAGCCTTCTTCAGGGTCATTGCATTGAATTTCAAAACGAGTCAGCGATTCCATAGTTGATGTTTAGTTAAATAAGTTCAGTGAACACTAAACGAAGAATGGAGAACGTTACAGCTTCGGTTTTTTTTTCGGGGAGGAAAACGATCATTACAGGAAAAGAGAAGCAACAAAGTTAATTATAGTTTACTCTGATACCGAACATTTATTAGCATTTTTTTTGTCACATAATGTTTAATCTCCTTCCTGGTAACTTTAAATTTCTGTAACGTAAATATATTCTGAGAAACGCTTATTTCTGCCTCTGCTTAGTAGATTAGAGAATCTGTTTGCCATTTCCGTTAATACTGCTTAAATTCGGTTCCCTTCGAGGTCGTCCGGAACCGCCACCCATATCACACACCTGTAGGTCAAGTTTCTGTTTTGACCTTCTTTCCGTTTGTTGCCACTTCACGCGTCTTTCGTGCTCCCGGTTTGTTTTAAGGAAATCATCATTAATATAGAGAGGGGATGGCGTACTTGTTTCCATATACATTTTTCTTTTATATACACGCGAACGCAATCAAATCAATTTGTCTAGAGTTTTTCGTCATAATTGTTGTTCGTAGCTTTTCATTCTCTTTCTCATCAACTAAAAGTACAGTTGAACAATTTATCACCCGCCTGTGGATACAAAAGGAACGGAAAACGTTTAGGGGGCGTTTACGTGTCAAATCCATTTCTTTGCATCCACCACCGACAAGTGGACCCCTCCGAACCTACTGCGATGATGATGTTAACTGTTGGATTTTGCAGGCTAGGTCCACTTGTCTGTGGTGCACCACTTTGTTTTTTACTTTCTCTACATTTAGAACTGATGAAGGGAATAAACGTCTCATCGAGAGCTAAGTAGTTGCTTCTTGTTACGGTGCGTCTTTTTTCGTCGTCCTTCCGATCTACTCCTAATCCTACGCAATAGAATTTTCTCACTGTCAAGAGCATTGAAATCGATGCGATGAGTGTGTGTGTGTGTATCTGTGGGTGTGACTAATGTATAATAAACGTCATGTTTGCTCCTATGTTACACAAATCAGTCCCTTCTCATCTGAAGTGTTGTTTGCTATCGGCTCGGGCTATATGAAACTATGGATAAATGGAACGCAGGAAACGTCGAGCGTAGTAAACTCAAAAAGTCAAACAAGCTGTAAAAGCTTTATCGCACATGTTTCCGTTTTTTGTTTGTTTTGTTAGCTTTTCTGTCTTTGGAAGATTTGTTCCGTTTTTATAGTTAGATTAAAAATTCTTCTACCAGAGATTGTACTACAGATAAATGCATTCTGATTTTCTTAGCTTCAAATTTCGCGCTCGCTTTCTAGAAAACATTCATACCGGTCTCGGTCTCACTTTGTTTTTTTTTGTTTGTCTACTTAGATTTGTTCTGGTTTGTTTTGCTCGATTGAATCTGCCGTTTGTTTGTTTGTTTGTTTGGTTTGTCTCTCCTAAAGATTCGAAAAAGGAAAAACTAAAAAATAGATGTATATCATTTTTGTTTCCCTATCTTCTGGTTTTACTGCATTACACTTTCGTAAAATTCCTCTCGTTTGTGGCTTCTTTTACTTCTCTGCTGGTTGGTTGATTCGTTTCACTTATCCAAGTGGAACTTGCTCTCGATCCAACTGTAGATGGACGCCTGCGAACGGCTGACCCACTCGACGTTAGCCGCCACCATGCTTAGGGTCATGTTAAGGATCTTCATGCCCGGTCCGTCGCCAAAACGCTCCACGAGGGATTTTAGCTGTGGAAGGATAAAGCAAGTTTGAGAAAGAGTTGAATAATTTAAAGCTAATGCAATAAAGTAAATACGAGACAAAAAGTTTGAATTCCATGTTGTAAAGTATTTTGGCTGAACATCAAACTTGAGATGAACGTCATTGAATATCAATGATTTACTATAGACGAATTAAACTATTTGGGTTAATGACTTTGTATTGTTACGCAATAGTTTCTAAGAAAACAATCAGGACCACCATTTGAAAAGAACTGAAATAAAATAAATTTATTTGTTCACGTTCTCCCGATAACAAATTTCTGCAGTAGTATTAGGGTATTAGTCTCAAATGCAGGGATTTTTTTTTTAATTGCTAATCTCCAGTAACTAGCCATCAAGTACTAAATTCAGCCATCAATTTTAAAGTCTGGAACGCGCAAAAATTGGTCAACTTCAGATTGGTGTATTTCTGTTAAAAAAAACCAAAAAACCTGAAATGCTGCATTTGGAAGTTGAGTGTATATACAATGGTTGCTATGATGAGTTTTCACCGTTTGCTCTCCAGTTTTCAAAATGACGTCCAAGCAAAAGGAGCAGCGTGTCAAAATTTTGCTCGCGCAGCAAGAGAATCCGACGTTCTCGCCAAGTTGGCAAAATTGTTGGATGTGGCCAAATCGACCGTGACAAACGTTTTAAAAGTGTTCAGGGAGTGTTTGTCGGAAGCCTGGAAGCGGCGGCAATCGTAATCCGGACGTGGCAGCGACGACGAAGAAGGTGGCGGTAAAATATAAGCGGAATCCTAACTTCCCAATCCGGGACGTCCCTGGCAAGCTCAATGTCTCCCATACTATTGTGCAGCGGGCCAAGAAATGAGCCGGGTTGTCGACGTTTAAGAAGGTGAAGGTGGCGAACCGAGATTACAAACAAAACACGTCGGCAAAGCAGCGGTCCCTAAAGCTGTATACGAATCTGCTCACAAAGTTCGACTGTGTCGTCATGGGCGACGAAACTTATGTAAAGGCGGATTTCAAGCAGCTTCCAGGACAGGAGATTTATACCGCATCAGGAAAAGGGAAGGTGGCAGAAATTTTCAAAACCATCAAACTATCGAAGTTCTCGAAAAAAAATATCTCGTCTGGCAGGCCATATGCACGTGTGGTCTAAAAAGCGGAATTTTCATTACTACGGGAACCATCAATCAAGAGATCTATGCCCAGGAGTGCTTGGAAAAGCGGCTGTTACCATTCCTAAAGCAACATAATAGACCTGTGCTGTTCTGGCCGGACTTGGCGAGCCGTCGAGTGGTACGATGCTAACAACGTGGTTGTGGTACCCAAAGACCACAACCCTCCCAACAGGCCAGAACTCCGCCCTATATAACGGTATTGGGCCTTGGTCGAACTTAATATGTCTTCCGACTAAATACTCCTGATTTTTTCCAGAATTTTATTACATCTTCGCACAGAAGCTAGTTCCAGTGTAAGGTTCTTCTGACATCAATCAAAAGATCCCTGATGTTGCAGCCTGATATATTCCGACTTTCTCCAAAAGTGCTTCTGGCTTTCTCTTGAAGTTTCTTCCAGCATGATCTGGCAGTTTTGTTGTTTCAGAGTTGCTCCGGATTTACACCACAATATTGTTGGGATTTCTCCGGGAATCTCCTTCCTACTAAACCAGAAGTCCTACTGACTTGATCGGTAAGTGTGTACCAACTTCATCTGAAAGTTTCTTCCGACTTGCACTTTCAAACTGCCACCGGAAATTTCTACCGTCTTTTCCTGGATGGTTATGTTCCGACAGACTCAGCTCCCTCTGGAAGTTTCTTCTAACCTTATAACAAATTTCCAGCTTCACTGGTTCTTTCCTACCTCTCCAAAAAGCTCCCACTGGAAATTTCACTTTATTGATAGTTCTTTGTTCAGAGTATTTTTCCCGGGAATGATTATCTGGTGGTCTATTATTTGTGAATATGTATATTTAACTGTTTCCAAGGTCCTATCTAAATAATTTCAATTGAATTGGAAAACGTGATTTTTGGCAAAATTAGTCAAAATTGTTTCCCTGGATGTTACTGGTATTCCTATATTTTTTGTTTATCATCTCATTTTCTCAAACACGTATAAATAAGCATACTTGGAAATGATTTCTGAATCGTTGTTCTTTCGTAAATTGATGAGTTCCAAGTGATTTAGAGATATAGATTTTAAAAAGCACCTCTGCGCAACGTTCTCAAAATGCCGATCATGTCATCTGCCGCTCAAAGGTAAATGCTCCGAACGAATTGGATAGCAAAGGTTCCATCATCAGAAGAAAGGTTTGTTTTTCTATGCGTTGCTTGCGCCTTCGCTCGAGCGCAGCGCTACTGTGTATGTTGCTCGGATTCAGGCAAAGTTGCCAGTCTTCGGAAAAATATAACATTACATGGTTGTAAGCACAAAAACCGAAACAGAAGGAAAAAACATATTTTCGACATTTATTACTTTAACTCTATGCAACTCGGAACCAGTAGGCTTTGGAAATTTTACGTCTTCGAAAGAGTTGTTTATTTTGTCAAGATAAACAACTTTAAGCCATTAAGGCACTAAGCCTAACAGCTTAACAGGCACTTAAGCTAACAGGCATTAAGCCTCCAAAACGTCAGAGAAAGAAGTTAAGGGTGTTTTCCATTTGGAAATTTTTCACTCAAATTTGACGCTTCGAAAATAAATTAAGATGTTCGAAAATCCCTCTGTTGTTGATCGGCCGATTTTCGAGAAAGCGTCTGTCAAAGTTGATTCCTTTTCTGTCAGAAATAAGTCTGCTGAGATAGCAGGTTTATTTGAAAATTTTCCGCCTGTCAAATTTAAGTAAAAATTCATCAATTGGAACACAGCCTAAGTTTGATGAAACACCAACTTTGGACTCCCTCCCCTTGCAGCGGATTTTTCTACATGGCTGCTGGTCGCCCTAAAATGCTACGTAATTTATGAATGTTCCCTAAGATTACAGGCTAAGACAAATCTTATCAATTCTTGGGTTTAAAAAAAGTTTCAACATTTTTAAACATTTTTCTACGGCTTTGATAATGTTTTTTTTTAATTGAATTTTAGAGATCTTAGAGATCTTGAATTCAGAAAGAAATACTTGTGCTGTGAACCATTTGCCGAGTTAAATTTAAGTCGTGGTTAAAAGTGATATTTCGAAAGTTATTCTGTATGTTCGAAAATCCCTGTGCTGTCGATCGATCGGATTTCGAGAAGACCTCAACCACGGTTGTCAAAATTTAACTTCTTGTATGTCAGAAACAACCACGCTCGGACAGCAGGGTTAATCGATAACTTTCCATCTGTCAAATTTTAACCAAAAGTTAAAAAAAATCCACCAAATGGGTCACAGCCTTAAGCGAACCCCACACGGTAAGAAATATTGTCAATACCTACAAGTATTGACAATAATATTGATGATGTGAATACAGAAATATTGTCAATATAGATGTATTGACGTCAATATAAAATGTATTGACAATACGATTATTGACAATAAAAGCAATCGTGTAGGGTCCACTTTAAGCAAACCCCACACGCATCAATATATTGACGCGAAGGGGAATTATTGACAATAATATTGATGATGTGAATCCCGAAATATTGTCAATCTCGATATATTGACGTCAATATAGAATGTATTGACAATACGATTATTGTCAATAAAAGTAATCGTGTAGGGTCCACTTTAGAGATATTTGTATAAATTTTCAATATTCTAGGACAATGAAAAAATGTCATAGAAAAGGTTCATTACTTGTAGTTCGAAAAATATTCCAAAGAATTTGGATGATAAAGTGTTGATCTTCCTAAGTATTGAAAAGCCAAAACATAACCAAACTAAGGAAGTTGTTGAGAAATTTCCGAACAAATCCTGCGTAGAGTTCCAGCAACTTACCTCATCGTAATCGAACTTGGTCGAACCGTACTGCGTGATGGCCGATATCACCCGGGCAAAGTTGACGCTTCCCTTCCCCAGCTTCGATTGGAAATCAATCCACTTGGCCTGCAGGAACCGACAGGCCATCGCCCCTCCGGTAGGCGTACCAGCGATCGCCTGCAGCACCTGAACGATCTCCGTCACGGGCAGTGTTATCACGTGCGACAGCAGCCGGTTCTGCAGCCAGGCATCCTTCGTTACCCCGAGCGCTCGGAGTAATTCCATCCGTTCTTCGGATCCAACTTCCTTCTCCCGACGCAGTGCAGTGTACAGGGCCCAGCAATCGTGCCAGTAACGGATCTCCCCGGACAAAACAGATCCAATGTACGCTACCGAGCGTAGATTTGGTGGGATGTTCGCTTGGTCGTTCATTAGCTCTTTGGCGTTTCGAATCGCGTCCGGTTCTTCCCAGAGGACTGCACTCAGTAGCACCGTCGGTCGTAGCAGTTTTATCTCTTCTTTCCCGGTGTCGTTCCAGGTTAGGTCACGAATCGATTTGGCCAAATTCTGACGGATGTACTCCGCCAGGACGAGGTAGCATTCGGAATACTTCAGGATCTTGCGCCATTTTTCCAGATGCTTCAGTCCCACGAGAACCGGACCCCAGTCCTGTTCCGTTGGAAAGTATGTTATCAAATCCATCGCGTAATCACAGCGGAGCAGATTGCCGTGGCATAGGGTGAAGATATCCGAAACGAGACCGACGCGATCCTGCAAATCATCATCCGAAGTATAAAAATAGATCTCATCAAAAGCAAATTAACCGTCATACCTGTGTGCTGAAGATCTGATGATTGATTTGCAGCTGCTGGACCAACTTGGACCAATTATCGTCGTCGTACAGCACCCGGTAGTATCCTGTTTGATCGTGATTCAGCTTAATCCATTCCGGCGAGTGATCGAGTGTAATTTTGGCTGTGGAATGACGGAGAGATAAAAGCTATACGTATACAACCAATAACAACACTTACTTTCGGTCGAATTGAACCACATAGTTTTTGGATGTTGATCTTTATTGCTGGTGAAATAGGTGATTGGGAATGTCCATCGGGTACGTTTCTTGTCCTTGCCGCTAGTGGTCAGGGCAACCGTCGTCGTTGTGGTCGTGGATGTGGTGTCGTTTTCCTCAACATTCGGATCGTCATGAATAGCAACGAATTCAGCTGGAGCAAACGGGGTTTGGCTGATGTGAAACTCGTTTCCTTGTCGGCTGACATTGACCAATGGGAATCCTGGCAGGTTAGTCCAGTAGTTCATCATCTCTTTGACATTTTTACTGTTGTTGACCTGTCGTGCACAGATCGACCACAGATCTGCTGGCTCTGCGGTCATGAATTTGAACGTTTTGATGAACTTCCCCAAACAGTGGCGGAAGTTGACTTCCCCAATGGCTGATTGTAGCATGGAAAGCATCGAAGCCGATTTGTCAATGTAGAATTCTTCGTTGTCTCCAGTTTCGGAAGTCCCAAGGTTCAAACTTTCCCAACCTTGCAAGGCATCGATGTCCATGGCTCGCGTAGTGGTCTCAATCAAGAACAACTCATTCATCGGCCACAGTGGCTTGATCGGTGTCAGTATAAACCTGCTCAGATACTTGATAATGCCTTCCCAGAGCCAAACGTGTTTCCAGGTCTTCGGTGAAATTAGTCCTCCAAAGTACTGCTTAACGATACCCTCCGATATCTTTACCACAGACATGTGGTAATCCTTAGTGGAGACATCCTCCGGTGAGTTCAGGAACGACATCCGGAATACGATCAACCCAAGTGAGCTGGTAAAGTCATCGTTCAAGTTCGGCAGCACGATAAAGTCTAGCTTTGACAGTGGATACGCCACACCCAACCACTGTTGAAGATACTCCAGAATATCCCTGGATGTGTGTAGCACGAAACTGCCCTTGTCTACGTAAGGTTGTGGGGCGTAGAACGAATACGCCGGTGCTGTCTTGATTTCCAGTGCATCACTCGCTCTGGTATGATTGGTCTCGGTTCCGTTTCCACCTTGTTTGGTACGGGTTCCCTGAATTACGTTTGCCGCTACGGCATCGGATACTGCGCTGCTGGATTCGTTCACGGTAGATGGCTTGGTAGTGCTATGTGGGATATTGTTTGTTAGTTTGAAAAGATTCTTGGACAGTAGAACGGCAGTTAGATTGCGGAATGGTTTCTTCTCCGCTTTGGTCAGTTTCGCTGGCTGTTTCGTCGGTTCCAGCAGTGGCTTATGGGTATCCTTGGTGATATTGACCATCTGGTAGATAGGCGAGGGATCAAGCAGTTGACGCTTAAAACTGCTGATCACCCAGGAGATCGAGTTCGGTGGAAGAGGGGGCGTCTCGGCAAAGTCATCTCGAAGCTGGAAGATTCTTGTGTTAGTACTGGTATGCAATACAGGACTACAAAAAAGCATTCTTACCAGACCCGTTCCCATGTAGAATCCAACGTCATCCGTATCCTGCACGATCGAATTGGACAATCCTATGTGGAACCGGTCTCGGAACAACGATATCCTGAAAGATGCCCTCAAATGTGGTTCATCAAAGCAGGGAAATGCTTTCCGGGCACTTCCAGGCTTTAATACTGTCGCTGCCAGAATTCTGAGAGTGTGGAAACAAATTGTTAACACCTTTTTCGATTGAATTTTCAACGATCAGAACAGTACTTCTTAACATCTGGCTCCGGTTCGAAGACGTCGACAAAGAACCCATCCGGCTCGGTGATCATTTTCGAGTGCCATCGAATGCTGAGAGTGAAGTTGGTCTTCTTGCGTAGTTTATCCCGTAGCTCTATGTACAACTGCTGCCTTGGTGGATACTCCAGTATTCGCAGAATTTTCAGGGAGTACCCCTTCGGTCCTACCAACGCCTAGTTAAAGATTTTAATTATTTCTACAACAACGGGCGAAATTTGTAGAAAAAATACATACCTTCTCTGTGATATTTAAATCTTGTGCGTGTAGCACGATGAAACTAGTTTCCTTCTCAACGTAGAACTCAACCGTCACTTGACCTGCAAAACAGCGATATGATCAATCTGAATTTCAAAACCGGAACTGTTCATCAACAAACCCTTCACGTCCATCGTCGTCAGGTTCGGGTGAATGGTCAACATGTACCGATTGGGTCGTACATTGTTCGGCAGTGTTGGCAAGAGCCAGGGAAACGGTTGGCCATTCGTGGCAATCGGTTCGAAGGGTTCCGAACTGTTGTAGCCTTCCACGACGAACCCGGGCGGTATCTTTCCAGCGCATGGACACACGCTTTGGGGACCGGCGTAGGCTATCACCAAGGCGGTGGCTGCAAAATGCAAGGTATTTCGATTATTAACTGCGTGCGGCTATTCGCTGTAGATTGCTGTTTTACCCAGCAGGGTTCCCAGAACAATGGCCGTCACGCATAGTGCTCGCTTCTGTGAACAAACGGCGACGCCTTCACGTCCTGGACGACCACTGGTACTATCGCCACCTAGAAAAAAAAAATACTAGATTACTAACCAGTTTTTTTTCTATTTCAAACAATTCAAACTTAAAGTTGAAGTAGGGTTGAAAACATCCGTACAGTATTGTACGGTAATATTTATCTATCGCTCCGTACATTGTTGGGCTTGGGCTACACAATTTATACCGTTAATTGTTTTAGCTCTTCTGCTTTAATGCATTATAAGTTAAGCACAGAGCATAGGTGTCTAGTTAGGGGGGGGGGGGCAAGGCTCTTTTGGCCCTTCTATAATGTTCAATAGGAGCCCTGTTACAGTTACGTTAGTTAGTAGCATGAGCAAACAACATAATAATTATCAGTACCCGTGTAGCCAAGATAAACAAATAGAACCCAGCCAGTAACACATTTGCAAGAAAGGGAGATTCGCTACCTGTCACTGCCGTCCTGTTGACAGTTCCGAACGATTTCCGCTTGGCGGAGACTGGCATAGCACGGGCAAGACATCATTTCGGTTTGTTTCGTCACAGTGAAACGTGGTGTTTGCTTCTCCGTAAAAAGTGACGGCACGTGTGCGAATTTGGGAGCGAGATTGCCAGATCACCCGCCGCTGAAAGCCAACTCCGCTCAGTGAAGTGAACGGCGCGAGTGCAAGTCAAAGCATTTTGGGAAACCGTCGTCCTTGTCAGACCAACGCAGGATCAACCACAGCACCATCGGATACGTCACGTCCGTCGCTGACGGCGACGCAGGAAGAGGGTTTTTCTAACCAGCAGGTAATTTCCTCGCATTTGATCGCCGTGCATCCAGTTTATCGATAATGAAACCTTTGCGGTTTTCACAGCCGGCACGTTACGCCCACAGCAACTGCCAGAGCAGGTGTTGATCAGCCGGATCCACTGAATTCCACCGAGAGGTAAATTAATCCATAAATCACTCTCTCACTAAGCGCGTTGATCATTCGATTACCTTCAACAGACACGTGGCAACATCCGCCCACCAGTACGATCGGAAGATTGGCCCGAGGAGGCAAAGCACATAGGTGTATCGAATCGACAGAGAAACTCGACCACAAGGTAATTGGCACCGCTAAGTTGGTTCTGTTCACGTGTGAGTGACGCGTGTGGCTTTGCAGCAGACAGCAAAGATCTGGCGTTTGGAGGAAGTACGACAGACGATTAGTCGACCAAAAGTATCCGGTCAAAAGCATCCGGAAAGAAGCCTTCACCGTGAAGTAAGTGATGATGCATGCAGGAAACCACACGCATGAAGCTAACCGCACTGCGTTGCAGGGCTTCTTTTCTTCCACTGTAGCTTTACCATTCTCCTGGATGTCCACGGTGCTGGTTGAACGGATCGAGTACGTTGTTCACTCATAGAATCAAGACGAATACGGTGACGGAGCGGCCATTGGTCCACCGATCACAGACGAGGGAATAGTTGCAAACATCTCGTCGGCAGTAGTGATCCGTCGAACACGGAAGAACCGGAGATCCACTTCTCATAGCACATTGGCTGAAGCGGTCCGCCGATCACTGATAAAGGTTCGGTGCGCCCAGGTCGCCCTCATGCGAGTGGAGCAAATGTCAAGGCTAAGTGGCCTCCAGTGACGAAGCGACTTCATCGAGGCAATCTATCGCCAAGCGAGTCAACGTGGAGTAAGCAACGGCAACAGGCAGCGGTATGAGTGAGTGAGTGAATTGAAGATAGTTCTAAGCGCTTAGTAGGGCTATGATAGGCAATGTGCAGCATGTATGGGCGAATGGGTAAATAGGTATCATCATGCTATGAAAATTCGATGCCTAGTGCTTTATTTGGTTTTGGGAAAAGTTTACAGCCCTAATAATTTTCATTCAAATTTTTAAATGTGTACCTTGAAGTATGAGAAAAAACGTATTCGCAAGAAAAAACAAAATTACTGAGCCTATCTGTAGAAGCTGCTGTCGCAATGTGAAATTTCAATTCAATATTATTTTAAAATTAAATTTTTGAATATTTTGTCTAACTGGGTGGCAACTGAACTAGGATAACCGAGGTATAACATATTTTATTCCTAATTTATTTCGAAAAATTATCTAGTTTTAAGATTTTATATATAGGGGAAATGGCTCTTATGTTGGCCTATGGATCTAAGATTGGGCCCATCGCTAAAATATTTACCAATTGTATCTAGATGAACGCGTCATTAGGACGGTACTGATGGATACTTTTGGTCGCTATTGAAAATTTAGTCGATTGCTGAATTTATGTATGTGCCCAAATTAGGGACACTTAGGCCGACATTACATACATTTCCCCTATGTTAAAGATCTTGAAGAGCTTTTTTTTAAGTGGCAGAATATTTAAATGTTTTGATCAGCCTCTGATGATCTCTAAAATGTGTCCAAGTTTTATACCTTGAAATTTTTTTCCAGGATCTTTAAGTTGAATTTTTTCAGGTTCTATTGGAAAACATATTCTATTTCTAGGATTGTGACCACATTTCTAAGTCCAAGATTTTATTTGAGAACTTGGGGTTTATTTTCAATTCTGGGGTCTTCAATATTCAACTAAGGCCCATAATCCTAAAAGTTTTGTTAAGACCGAAATCTTTACCTTTATTTTCTTCTAGGATCTTGAAAAGAAATCCTTAGCTCCAAAAATTAAGAATGGTTCAAGTATAAATCTTAAACATTTTTTCTAAGCTCTTGAGTCAGATAACAGACTTAAACGATAGACGAGGAGATGAAAGTTTAGAGTTGATAGTCCCGTTAGAGTACGGCAGTGTGAAAATTGTATATAGAGAGTAGAAAGCGAGCAAGGACAACTTTGAGGAAGTTACAAATCGGGATAATTGGAATCATTTGGAAATGGTTATTCGAACTGCAGTGCTTCTTCATGCGGAACTGTAGGATCCTCTTGAGGTATATCGTAAGTTGGAACCACTATTAGAGTTGTTACTCCAAAGCCATCGAAGAATATCGAAAGCGGAGTCGGATGAACTGTTGGACTGCTTTCTAGAACACGAGTCTTCAGCTGGTTGGCGTGCGACCGTATCAGATAATGTTGATCTTTAAGGGACACATTGTAGTTGACGGTTCCTATCTTCTCGATTACGGTTGCTGGTTCCCACTGCCAAAAATTCGCTCGATGTACCTTGACATATACGAAATCACCGTGCTGAAAACCTCTCTGGACTGGGCCGTGCTTTTGGTTGAAAGCGTCATTCTGTTTCTGTCTCTGGATTTGGTGCCAGTTTGATTCGGTTGGTTTGAACGATATGGTACGAAGTGGTCTTCCAAACATCATCTCTGATCGCCATTTGGTGCAGAGCGATATACTTGCAGAAAAGTGTTTAGTGGTTCCTCAAGCGTTTCTCCTCCGGAACGATTTTTCCGGAGGCTTCTCTTCAATGTGTCCGCGAATATTTCGGCTAACCCGTTTGATTGTGGATGATACGGAGCAATGCGAATATGGCGGATCCCTTGACGGGTGCAGACATCTTGAAATTCATGACTTCAAAACTGTCAGACACGGTTACCTCTGGAACGCCGAACGTTGCGAAGGATTGATTTAGCAGCTTGATTGTGGTTTTCGATGTCGTAGATTTGGTTGCGTGCACCTCAGGCCATTTGGAGTGGGGTCTACCATTACTAGAAAGTAGATTCCATCTACTGGATCTGCGTAGTCGATGTGAATCCTGAACATGGTTTAGAAAGAATGGGCCACGATTCTAACGTCGTCTTGGTTGGTGTTCGACGTAATCCTCAATTATATCGTTATTGATACCAGGCCAGTCCATCCGTCGTCGAAACATGTCGGGAACCACGACTCTGTCGCCGAACATCACAAACCCATCAACTAGGCTGAGTGATTCACGTCTGTGGTATTAGGGTTGAACTACAGCGGAGAGATTCTTGATGCAGACAGGCCAACTGTCTCGGATATGCTTAGCACCAGTTTGGAGAGTAGCGTTTGTAGATGTACCTTCTGTAGTGCTGCGAAAGAAACCGGAACTTTTAATGTTGTGTCGGAAAGAATGCTTGATAAATCTTCTTCCAGGGTGAGTGCAGCGATTACAATTTCTTCCTCTGGTTGGTTTGGTCGATCAGCCGGGACAACAAATCTGGGCATCCAAAATTGTTCGTACATACATGCTGAATCTTGTAGTCGTAGTTAAGCATTGTATAGCCCAGCGTTGCAGTCTGTTCGTAGTGTGTAGCCCTTCTTAGAACCGAAGATGAGCGGCAGTGGCTTGTGGTCGGTCAGCAGGAGAAATGTAGGTAATGTCGGCCTACATGTCCCAAATTTGGGCGCATCGCTAAAAGTCTGCTATTTATCAATTGTACACGGGAAAAAAAGAGTTCCCATATTCGTGAACCACAGCCGTGAACCATAGTTCACGGTGTATATTTGAGAAAATTTTGTTCTGGATAGCTGGCCGTGATTTTTAGTTCGCGGTCCGTTCCCGTTTTCGGGAACGGATTTTTTTCCGAGTATCTAGATGAACGCGTCATTAGGATGGTACTAATGGATATTTTTGGTCGCTATTGAAAATTTAGTCGATTGCTGAATTTATGTATGGGCCCAAATTAGGGGCATGTAGGCCGACATTACCTACATTTTCCGTATTTGTGGAATTTTGTCACCTCATAGACTAACGCAAGTGCATCCTTTTCGGGTTTCACGCTATGTCTGAAGGCACTTTTTTGCAACATTCATGTACCTCAGATTTTTCTTCACAGGATGTTAGTATTGATCCTAACAATCAAATCTGTGATGGTTTTAAAATATTTCATCTTGGGTTTTTTGAGAACAAGTTTTTTGAAGTTTACGAAGCCGATTATGAAGGCGTATATGGACTATTGACCATACAACTGTTACGAATTGAACAAATGCAGTCAAATAAGGTTCAAAAGTTGATTGCATTAATCCAAATGGCATTAAAGAAGTTTTCTTTGACAAGTAAGATCCATATTGATTTTGTCGACTTTGTGATAAATCAATTAATATTTGTTCGTAGCACAATATCTTGCTTAATTTCTCTTCGC